ATGTACACGAGGTGTTTAAAGGACATGCCTCCTATCGAGATGTTGACCTCAGTCGTCGCAGCCGCGGGCGAGGGAGCGCCATAGAACTCGTCAAAATCTTTTGGGCCCGAAATGAGTGTGGGGGGTGAGCTGTCCTCCCCCCTTTGTTCGCACATGCTGCTGTAAAGAGCTCCGCTGATGAGCGAGATGTCCGCTCCTGTGTCTAATAATGCGACACAGCGATGTCTCTGATTTACAGTGACCTCCACTGCGGGCCTAGTAGATTCCTTCCTCCCGACCAGAGGTGCAAGCAAAATTTTCTCAGTTACGGCGGTGGTAGTAGTGGTACTGCGGTCGTCATCCGCGGGTTCATCGCCTAACATCGCCACGGATGGAACTACCGGAGAGGTGATGTCGCTTTCCTTTGAGGTGTTGTTGTTTTCCTGTGAATCAGAACCTGTGAAAACATCAACCTGCAGCATTTCAGTCTCATTTTGTGGCTTCTCAGGCAAACACAGGGTCTCTGACCGGGTCTCCCGAGACTCACGCACAACTTGTTTGACGCCCTCGACGTCTTTCTGAAGATTGCAGATCATGTTCATCATGTTAGTCATCATGGGAAGGAAAGTGTTTTGAATCGCCGCCTGAAGTTGGGCTTGTAATTGCATCGCTACCTCTGAGTCCATTTTCCAAAATAGTAAATAGTCCTTTCCTGTTTTATTTATTAATTTACTCTTTAAATTTGCCTTCTAATTAGATGTTTATTTAGAAACAACCTTACCTGTAGATTTTTTAAAAGAAGTAGTTACAGGGAAGCTTGGCTGGTGAATGATTATTTTGGGCAAAATTGTTCAATAATGCCAAAAATATCATTGTCATTTGACCTGCCCAAGATGGCGGGTCGAGCTACGTGTCGGGCACCTAAGATGGCGGACCGCCGCGCATGCGTCGTCCGACACCCGGCTTCGATCCCCGTAGCCGAAACACGACTCTAAACACCGCAACGTGTTTTAGAACCGCCGCTAACGTTACCTTAAAGTACTCCGTACCGGAAGGTTTAGCGGATTAAAGGACACAGTTCCTCTGCGTCGGAACGGCTAGAAAGCTCCGCGGGACGCGTTCCCGAGCCGTCACACCGAGAGTGGCTAGTTAGCTCGTCGGCTAATGCTAGCGAACGCCCTGTAGCGATCAGGGTCTCAAAATTGCCTCGATCAACCAACGGGCCTCTCGCTCCGTGATTGAAAGGGTCTCAATAGTGTACGCAATCTGGATTCAGTACCGCTCTGCGGGTGTTCTCGGCTGACAGCGTTCACCGAGCAGTCAAGCAACGGCAGGTGCTAACGAGAATTCCGACTAAGAACAGCGCGAATCCTGCGCTCATCGAATGGAAATAAATTTCCGACGGAGTCTTCAGTCTCCGATTACACAAATGGACGCACACAGTGTCACAAACACCACGACAAACAATAAACAGACGGTTCCAATGCAATAAAACAGGAGAAATGTTTACCCTTAGATGTAGGCCTCAAAATGGCCACCAGCACACGTCAGCACTTAAGGTGTTTTGATGAAACAGCGCCTCCCGTTGGAGGGTGGTGAATGTGCACCCCCCTTTCTAAGAGCTGACTGAGGAAGCGCTCGCCTTTTTACTTTTTCTCTAACACACAGACACAGATAATCCCAAAATGTCTCAAATTCGGCACAAAGTGTAATAAACTGTGCAGATATCAAGCTTGGCTCGCCATATGTAAGGGAATCAAAGTGATGTAACTATCTAAAGTTGTATTTTAATACACTGTTGGTAGTTCAATTTTTATAAACAGAAGAATAGGCTGTCTTTATCATCAGGGAGTTTAATTAAACACTCTGTATTGACTTTGAGACAAGAAAAGAGAGAGATATGGGATCGTTTGAGAATCTTTAATTTCTGAATTATAAATTCTAAACAATCTACCAGGACTACTCTGTGATGGATGAGAATGGATTCGGATGTTGTGTTGGTGCGTGTGTGTGTGTGTGTGTGTGTCTGGTTCAGATTCTCTAGGATGACGTAATCGAATCTGGTCGTCTTTGTTATGACTAGATATCACGAGGCTTATAAAGTGATGACATGAGCCGCTATTTTGCCGTGTACGTACCCAGTGGGGGTCTCCCAGGTAGATCAGGAAATGCCGGGTCTGGAAACCTCGGATGTACGGTGGAGCTGTCGGTGCAGCGATCACAACGTTTCAAAGCCCGTCTGGAGGGTCGACCCGGTACCGTTCAGCGGCGTCAGCAGGTGCTCTTATTTTGAAAGGACGTCGTCTGGTTGTTAAACGACGAAAATCTCCCGTTTCACAGTTCTTAGTTTAAAGAAAACACATCCGGCCAGGCTGCGCTTGTCTTTAGGATGATGGTGAATAGAACTGAAGTCAAGATGGAACTGACTTAAAATGGCGTTGCCTTGTTTTATATCTCTGAATTGTTGATAAGTTTCAGTAAAGTAGATTGGACACTTGAAGTCAACACCAGATTCTCCTGCGGCAGCCGAAAGCTCTGATTGGTTGGAACAATGTGTCATGCGTTTCTATGGAGATGAGGATCAGTATGTCTGCACCGTAGTCCTGGTTTCATTAAACATAATTCATGACATATTTATTTCACAGATCATTCACTTGATTATTGTTGATCAACATCTGTTTTGCTTAATAATTTTAATCACAAATAAAGTACTTTGATTAAGTAAAGCTTCTTCTTCTCCTTCGGACTCTTCTGATGGAATGTAAACAGTCTGAGGAGCAACCCGACCTTGGTTTTTCTACACGGTGTTATTGTGCCCAGGGGCCAGCTGTATGGAGTTGAAAACCATGAACTTCATAACCTTACACAGCGCAGGGTCCGAAATTAACACTCGCCACTCGCCAAATGCGAGCAAATTGCTCCATTTGGCGAGTAAATTTTTTAGCTCTACCTGCCACCTGGCGAGTAAATGTTTGCACCAAATTAGTTATGTTTATCAGTCATCTTCCATGGATTTCTGATACTCCTCCCGCCTGCATGCAACGTACACAAACGTACGCGAAATGTGAGCGCCGATCAGTTTATCAAGTTAGCAGTTAGCTTCGTGTTAAAACTAGTGGTGAAATGTGATGGTTTTTAACTGGAGTCAGCAGCCTTCCAAAAGAAAACTCATCGAACTGGAAGAAAAACCACCAGGACCAGTGGCAATCAGAAGATTTTGTGAAAAGTGGCGAACCGGAGATGGGGGAGTCGTGAGACAATGGCTACATTATGATGGCCACGTAGCGTTGCTGCCTTTCACAGACAACTGTTCCTCGGCATTCTTCAAATATCCAAAAAAAAAGCCCATATTTCCGACTTTGTCTTCTTTGAGGGATAATAAATGTCCCGAGTGCTGCCGTCTCCTCCTGCCATTATTTCAGCTTTAGCTTAAAGAAAGTTTTGGTCGTAAACAACAAAGTGCGCATGTGCCGCCGGCCACTTCAGCGGATGATACGGTGGCTGGTAAGGGTCACCGCGCCTACACCGCAGCCACGATAATCCACCGAGCTAATATATATATTTTTTTTTAAAAAAAAGACGGTTATTATTTTTGTCAACTTTTTACCGGGGTTTACCGCGACACCGGTTACCGTGACAACCCTAGCCCTGACACATTTTCAGATATTCTCATGGTGCAGCTGTATTCTCCAGAGATCAAGGACTTTGACCCAAATGAGGCTGTAATGCTTTGGCACAAAGACGGTGTCAGAAGCAGGAGGCCAGACTTCATGGACAGAGAAAACAAGGAGTCTGACTAGATTTCAATGAAAGAGTTCATAAAAACATCTCTAAAAATAAATAGTAAAAATGACAAAAGAGTTGTTTTTCTTATTAATTGATGTTTTAATTATTTTGTCACTCTGTTTGGAATCAACATAATATAGAATAACATGCTTTAGGTAGATCTAAATCATTTAGAATTTTGGCCGGTAAAAAATATGCTTGGCCGGTAGATTTTCATCATTCACCAGCCAACTTGGCCGGGGAGTAAAAAATTTAATTTCGGACCCTGTATCAGCGTCAAGCCCACAGGCCCACCCGCAGCCTCCCACCCCCTAGCCGGCCGAGCCCGGGACACAGCGACCCAGGATCCAGGGGTGACCACCCCCGCCGGGGACCCAGCAGAGCTCAGGGACCCAGACCCCACCAAGCAGCCACCGGGATCGATCAGGCAGACGCCAAAAATCTTAAACACCCTGACCCGAGAGCCACGGACACTCAGGCAGACCAAGGCACCACACCCCACACCAGGTGTGGCAGGGGGAGGGGAGATGAAGATCTATATCATCAAAAGAAGTCCCAGGAGAGGGGAGGAGTCAAAGGCCCCACCTGACATTTACAGTCATACACAAACACAATCACACACTCCCTCCCTCATGCTCACACATGCACATACAACCCAAGACTTACAAAAATGCACACCAGACCCCACTCATGCTCCCCATACACACCCTATTCACTCTGGTCCCGGTACTGCTGCACATTGGGTACAACTATCACCGGTTACCAGAGTTTGACCCTTTCTGCTGGGGTGTTGATGAGTAGGCTCCCCCGCCCAACGCCGAGCACAACAACCCACCACCCCAGACCCCAACCAGACGGCCAGATCTCCCTCCTAGCCTCCAGCCACAGGAAGCCAAGCAACAACAGAGGTGTACTAAGACCCCTAGTCTCCCTCCGCCTGCTCCAATATAGTGTTGTGTGTTGATGAGGTGTATTCCATGGCTGTGGTGGGCGGGCAGTGCAGGTCTGACCTATGCCAGCCGATGCCACCGCACTACCCCACTTGCATCCACAGCCCTCTGTGTCTAAGTGCAGTTTAAAATTGGAAGTGGGCACCGGCACTCGGGAGGAGGCTGAGAAATCCCCCTGCCAAGTGCCGTTGAATGAGAGCACATTCCTGTTAACGATGTAAAAGCACAGTTAGAAATCGGAAAACAGAAGCTTTCATTCATTTAATTATTTTCTACATTTTTCAGGCAAGACAAAAGAATTGGAGTTGCAAAAGAGTGAGCTGGACAAGTTAAAGCAACAAGACCAAGGTATTTACTCTTCATCGTCCACTAGTACATGTTTATCTTCTGAAATAACTAATGACCTAATATAAACACGACACATCCGAGATACTCAGGACATAGACACCCAGTTTTGTGCAAATGCTGAAGGTTCTGTTTGAACAAGGGTTGGACAGGTTGATAATTTATTCACACTCCATGTGCAGGTTTTCATTGAATCTATAAAACTAATGTGGTAAAACTGCTTATAAACTGAAATACGTAACATTTTATGTATAATTTTAGCTCAGGAAAATTAAATGATCACCAAATAATTTTGAGAAACTAATGAAGTTTTTGTCTCAAGTGGCTTTCTCAGCATCTCTGATGGATTCAGGCTCAGGAGATATTAAATCACAGTGCATTAAGTGTCCACCACAGCCTCAAGACATGTGTTGAATGTGCCCAAGTCCGTACTTATGAGCAGGGGTGCTGTAAAGCAGTGAAAGATTAGGAAGATTCTAAGGGCCCAAAGCTGTCAGGGGCCCAAAAAAGTTTCAAAGTTGAGTAAAAAATAAATAAAGTTTAAAAATCACAAGTACTTTACTTTGCAGTATTTTTTCTCATTTAAGACATTAAACAATCTTTTAGTCTTTATGAAATGTATATTTATTCAGAGGTCCCTACTTTATTTTGACTAATTAATTTGAGCCCCCCCCCCCCCCAACGACATAAAATAGTACAGTCCACCTGGCCGAGGGGCGCGTTGCAGGCGAGGCAAGCTCACGCAGCAGTCAGACAGCAGAGTGTGACAAGGCTGCAGTAAATATGTCTGCAGAAACAAAGTCTGGGTCACAGAAAAGGAAAGAAAAAAAGGAGAAAGAGGACAGGCAGAAGAGAGGGCATCAGTATGTCACACAGTTTTTCTCCAAGAAAGGTGGGTTTAGTCAGTGAGTGGTTAAATTCAACCTGTTTGCTAGCTCTGATATCCACAGTGAGAGGAACTATGTTTAATCTAATTATGGTAAATGGGTTTTCGTCCTTGTCCCTACCAGAATCAGCAGCTGATGATATGTCAGCAGGTGTCCCCTCACAACCCAATGTACCTCAAGGTGAACAATGTAGCATGTTAGCTAGCAGCCTCTGTGGGAATCACTTAAGGCTGTCTTCTCTATCAGTAGTATTACAAAGGAATATAAAAAGGCTATTTTGGGTGATAAACACATTGTTTTTCCACATAATGATAATTATATATATCAATCACTAAAAATGTATAGATTGTTTTTGATGTTGGGCAGGTTGAAGCATTGTTATTTAGTCCGTCACAAAGTATGTCACTCAGGAGCATTATTAATTATATCACTGTAAATAACAAATCTTGCTGTGTACAATCAAGGCTGAATATATTTTTAGCAGTTTTTTTGTTGTTGTTGAGAAAAATGGGTTTTTAGAGACTTATATACGTATTCATGCAAAGTTATCCAACTTTAAAATTTTATGTAACCCTAACAGACTCTGGTTTGAACTGTGTGCTTATTCATTTTGTGTCTATGATGAAGCCATGGAGACTTAATAAAGAAGTGACCTTGTGAGCAGTGAATCCTTAATTTTTATCAGTCATACAGAAATACTTGATTTCAAGAGGAAAGACAGCTAAAAATGTAGTTATGTAAAGCTTTGACACAACACGGAAATTTAGTTAGATATCCAAATTTGAATTGTATCATCAAATAAAATTTTAGAATAAATAAACACATTTTAAGGGAATAATAGGGAAAATGAGATTAACACCTTTCAGCATGTGCATTTCCTGCTTTTTCCAGCAGTGATATTGCTAATTCTGTTGAAGGAAATTCACTGTTTAATGAGAGACAGCTGGTGAAAATGATATGTAAATAAGTAAGAATGCATGTAGACCTACATAATTAAGCAAAACTGAAACACTAATATAAAGTATATATATATATTTTTTTTCTCCCTTCGAATCTGGGAGGGTGGAACCCCAGCTCCAGCTATGGACGAGCCCGCAGGGAACCCGACTTGATGTTTTTTCATGGGGCCCAAAATCTCTGGCAGCCCCCCCCGCTTATGAGAGCACCATGTGAGCACCTATGTGAGTACACGCGCTTGTATATGTAAGGTTTCTCTACAGGAGCGTCCAATAGAGAGTGTGAGGGGCCACAGATCTGCCCCCCAAAGATGTGTAGGAGATGGAGGGAGCTCCAAGTCCCAGACATTGAGGAGCTGCCCCAGAGCGCAGGGACCCAAAGGAGACTGCAACCAGAAAAGCCCCAGCCCCCCTCGAGAGGTGCAGAGGATTGCCCTGGGGGGCCACAACAAGCAGCTGGCAGAGTCCCGGAAGATATCAGCGGCAAGCCCACAGGCCTACCCGCAGCCTCCCACCCCCAAGCCGGCCAAGCCCGGAACCTGTTGACCCGGGACCCAGGGGCGACCAGCCCTGTCGGTGACCCAACAGAGCCCAAGGACTCAGATCCCACCAGGCAGCCACCGGGATCGATCAGACAGATGATCTTAAACCCCCTGACCCGGGGCCCGCAAACACTCAGGAAGACCAAGGCACCACACTCCGCACCAAATGTGGCAGGGGAGGGTAAGCAAAGATGTGTAGCAGCACAAGAAGTCCCAGGAGAGCGGAGGAGACCAAGACCCCACCTGACATATACAGTCATACACAGACACAGTCACACACTCCCTCCCTCATGCTCACACATACACATACACATACAACGTAAGACTTACAAAAATGAACGCTACCACTCATGCTCCCCATACACACTCTATTTACTCTGGTCCCAGTACTGCTGCGCATAGGGTACAGCCATCACTGGTTCCCAGAGTTAGCCCCTTTCTGCTGGGGTGATGATGAGCCGACTCCCTCGCCCATGTCATGTTCTGTGTCCCCTTGGTCCCCAGCCCCCTCCTGTTCTTCCTCAGGGTCTCCTCATGTGTCTTCTTGTGTTACACCCCTCCAGGCCTAGGAATACCAGGAGGGGCAACACAAGTGTGGTGGGAGAAATCACGAGGACAATTAAAAGTTCCAAAGGAGTTTATTAACTAAAAATGTCCCTGGCGGGTGTAAATCAGGTCCCTGAAATAATAAAGCCAGAGGTCTGTTTAATTTACTCTGTTAAAAGTATAACTGAAGTTCTGGGCAAGGCCCCAGACTCGTATAATATCCTCCTTTGGGATATTTTTCCTCCGTTTGGGTGCTGCGTTGCTCCTATGGTGACCGGCGTCTCTCTCTCTCTCTCTCTCTCTCTCTCTCTCTCTCTCTCTCTCTCTCTCTCTCTCTCGCTCTCTCTCTCGGGAAACCGGTGGTTCTCCTCTAGGGAAGGTCTTCGTGTCGGTGTAATCCAATATTCGGGTTCTCTCAGGTTTTTCCTTCTGGTGGTGGTTAAAACGGCGATCACAGGTTTTCCCCGTTTCGTCTCTCGTCTCTTGTCTCTGAACTCTCCGTGTCGTTCCTCTGCTGCTTGTCTCTGTTCGATCTCCGGCTGCAACTCTCTCCAACTCTCTCTCGAACTCTCTTTCTGAACTTCTCTGCCCCTGGATCGTGTCTCGTCTTCCGTTGTAAGGAGTCCTGATGAGTGCTGAGTACCCACAGCTGGTGTCAGCGGGCCAGCGGGAATGGTGCATCTCAGCGTGCCTCTCTCCATGGTGCTGATCCGCTGTCTCAACGGGGCCAGAGCGAGGAGCTGTCCATGGTGCGGTGGTTTAACATGGAGCTCAGGAACGCAGAGGTCATGACATCTTGTGTTCCCCAGCTCCCTCTAAGCTTCCCTCATGTTTTCCTCCTAGTCACTCCCTTGTAATTCCCATTTGTTGGCATTAGTCCTCCTCACTCCTCTTGTTATTAGCTGTTTATTTCTGCCCTTAGTTTCTAGGTTTAATTATTTAATGTTTCATAGGTTATGGTTATCTTCCCCTCTGCTTGGTTTTTCCCTTCCCATTTAGTTAATTGATTTCACCAGTCCTCCGTCTAGACCTCACTCCTCACATCTGTCACCGGTTCCCCTGATTGCTCCCCTCTGTGTTTAAAAGTCTGTCTTGTCCCTCAGTGTTTGTTGGTTTGTTGTCGTATGTGTCTGTGGTGTTTGTTGGTTTGTTGTCATATGTGTCTGTGTTGCTCGTTCCTCTCTTGAGTTTCCTGAGTCTGTGCTCATGTGTGAGCTTTTGTTTGTTTTTGAGTTTTCAGTGAGTTTTTGAAAGTTAATCTTATTTTTTGCCTTGGATATCGGCACGTCCTCCTTTAATAAAGGAATTATTTTCTTAAAACCTCTCCTGCCTTGAGTCATTCTGGGGATTTCTGCATCTTGGGTCCAACCACCTACACTCAATGTGACAGCCCAATTCCACTTTTCTGATGAACTAGTCTGTTTGATCTAAACCAGACAAATTAATAGCAAATTAAATCAGCTCAACTTGCCATTTTATTAGTTCTTTTACTTTGCAAAGATTTTATTTAGTTCCATAGAATCTGATGCTCATCTGCTGCTCAATTCATAGAAATTAACAAGTTTTATACCCTTGTGCTTGTTTGCACAAAGTAGCATTCTCATTTAAGTAAACTGCACACTCATAACAAAATTAAATCCATCCCAAACCCCTTCTGTTTAATTAGTTTGGAATTATTTATTTATTTTGCTTAGATTTAAAGTCTCTTCTCTTATCTGATGGCACCATCTAGTGGCTGACAAGCACATCACACAAAAAGTCTGTCGCTCAGTTTTTTTTAAGATGGCGAATTCACATTTCTTGTTTAAAAATGAGCTGCTGTAGCCGACAAACAGAGCTAAAACTTGTTATTTTACAAATATTGTTCTCATGTCATGTTGTGTTTTCTTATATTTGTATTTTTAAGACTTACTTGACCATGAAAAATTCATCAACACTGCATCAGCCGAGGTACTTCCTTAAATTTGAAGCATCTAAGCGGCAGTCTAACACTATTGGTTAGTTCTGGTCAGCGCTCAGTTTCTTGTTGCACGGAGCTCTGCAGGGCAGGGCGCGTGCTTAGAAGAATTTAAAAAGAGACGTTATAACATCTGTTCCAAGGACCCAAGAATTCTGAGAACACAAAGAATGGAACAAATAAAAGTTGATTCATTGCTGCTAGTTTCCTGACCGACACCAGAAAGTGAGAACACATCCCACCTGTCTTAGCCAATCTACATTAACTTCCAGTATCTTTCAGAGTTCAGTTCAAGATATTTGTTTTTGTTTTTAAATCTCTGCAGGAATGTGCTCCAAGTTATCTGTCTGAGTTACTAACCCGATACAAACCATCCTGTGCGCTTAGGTCATCACAGCAAGACTTACTAGTTGTTCCAAGAGTTAAACGCTTTACTAGAGGAGGGAGGGCTTTCTCAGTTTGATCCCTCCAAGCCATAGAATAGCCTTCCACTCACAGTCAGACAAGCATAATTACTGCTGGTTTTTAAGAGTTGGATGAAGACTCACTTTTATACAGTGGCATTCCCTCAGTACGTGAGCTAGCCATATTTTTTAGATATTGTAGCTAATTTTATCCAGTTGTATTTTACTTATTTCATCTTGTTCTTTTACTAACATTCTTTGCTCTTTTGTCTGCCATTGTATGGGTCAGTGATGAGCATGTACAGCACTTTAGTTCACCTCCTGTCAATTTGAAAGTGCTTTATAAATTAAGATGATGATGATGATGATGATGATGATGATGATAGATTGGTGCAACGCCCGCATCACTGCAGATGCAGCACCAATCCGCCTATTGATCTCACGCTCCATTTTTCACCCATTCGTGAACAAGACCCCGAGATACTTATTTCTATTATCTACTTTACTTAAATCCAGGCTTGTCCCAAATGTCTTAGACCCAGGAGCTTACTGCCAAAATACTTACAGGTTTCAAAGTTAGATTAGGTCTGCTCCAGACTGCAGCCAGCAACAGACCAGAGCGTGTGAATCCAGAAATCAAGTCCTATCTTCTTTATTCCTGTTTGCTGTGGCCCTCTCCATCCTCACTGGCTGAGCTGCAGCTATCTGCATTATCCTGACTAGCTGGCTTCACTCATGAGTGCAGAGAAGAGTAAAACATATAAATATTGGTTAAAAGTGGTGACTTCCTCAAATTTTGAAGTTTTGTTTTAGCATATTTAATTTTGACTCATAAGTCGTAATTTTCATGCCATGTATTTAATTGAAATAGAAGCAATATCAGATGTTTAATAAATCAAAAACATTTTGAATGTTTTTAATGAACTGAAATGGACAATGCAATAGGGACAGTAGTATAAGTCAGGAGGAAGAGCGGGTTGTCCAGTAAACTGAAGGTTGCAGGTTCGATTCCGGCACTGAGAGAATTCTGCTGTTGTGTCCTTGGGCAAAACACTTAAGTCACGTTGCCTGCTGGTGGTGGTCAGAGGGACTGGTGGCACTTGTGCAGCCTCGCCTCTGTCAGTGCACCTCAGGGTAGCTGTGGCTACATCGTAGCTCATTTCCACCAGTGTGTGACTGTGTGTGTGAATGGGTAAATGACTGATTGTGTTGTAAAGCACCTTGGAGGATTGTAGAACCCAAGGAAGGCGCTATACAAATACAGGCCATTTACCAAAGCCTAATTTTTTACACGAAATTTGTTTATTTGGATGTTGAGAACGACAGAAATCATGCACCATGTACAAAAAAAACAGCATTTCTTTATTAAACAAACAAATACAAAGTCCCAAGTCCTTTTATCTTGGAGTATCGCAGTAATATTTAAGCACGGCAAACAAAAGCTGCATTTAAGACAGGAGTTCACAAAGAAAGCACAAAGCTGACCTGCAGGGCCTGACAGAGAAAATGGATGTAACAGTGATTTTTACACTGTTGTTTTTCTGCTCTCTTACTGAGGCTCAGCTTCAACAACAACCTAACCCTAAGAAATATTCAGATTTGAAGCCAGCAGGTTCACATGTAGAAGCAGGAAATTTCTCAGAGCACCAACAAACATGTACACAGGACATCAGTGATGTGCTGAGAGAGATGAGTGCCTCGCTGGCCGGACCAAGCCCCCACAATGCGGGTGAAAAATTGATGCCAACGCGGAAGTGACAAAAATTGCAGTTCCACCCTCATCCGCTGGGGGCTGGTGCCAGAAACAAGCAAATCCTCATTGACTCCCATGTTAAAAATACCAATTTCACAGCAGAAATAAACATGTTTACAGCCTGGTTCCAAAACATGTTTTTTGTTTAAATGATCTAGTTTACACTCATGACAACTCTGAGGGGGGTGAATTTGTTTCTCACTCTTCTGTTTAAGTGTATTAAAAGCCTAAAATTCTGTATAATTAATGAGCATCCGACCCACGTGACCACAGAGCTAGCTCCGTGGAAAGGCCTCAGTAGAGCCTCGGCCTCACCTGAAAACTGTTCCGGGATTTTGAGTCTCTGTGTTTGTGTATTCTTTTCTGGATATTTTTTGTGCAATTGTTGGACAAAATGACTTGCTGTGGCATTAATTGCACCAATAGAGCGTCCAAGGAGTCTCCACTTCATTTTTTTCGGTAAGTAAAATTATATTTATGTATTTTAGGTCACTGCCGAGTTGAGCTTGGATTTTAACATGTACTGTTTAACCATGAAATTTAAATGTAATAGGGTAAAACCCAGTGCATTTAACATAATGCTGCACTTTAGAAAATGGGTTGAAATATAAAATGTTGGTGGAGCTGGGTTCCGACTTTCGGCTTGTGGAGCTCTCGGGAGACCAATGTTTTCCACCTGGTTCTCACCTCCCCACAGCTCGGCGCATCTCTGTCTGATAGCGGCTTCTGTCTGCTGCGCGGGCTGCCGGCTTGTGAAGCTCTGGGATGGAAACCTTTCCACCCGGTTCTCCCCAGCGGCAGCTCTGCGCATCTCAGATCGCAGCGGCGCTTGTCTGCTGTGCGGCTGCCGGCTTGTGGAGCTCTCGGAGACCTCTGTGTTCCACCCGGTTTTACCCAGCGGTCAGCCCGGCGTATCTCTGACTCAGAAGCTCTGGTGTTGTGCACAGTTAACTCCGGTTGTAGCTAGGTTGCTACCTCCGTTAGCTTAGCTCCCACCTCCGCGTTAACTTTGGTTTAGCTTCAGGTTAGCTTGTAGCTAGTTCAACCAGGTGTCATCAGTTGATCACAGCCTTACAGCCACACCCTCAGCTCCACCTCTCTTCCCTTTTGTGGAATTGTCTGGGCTTGACGGAACCTGTGACACGGTCAAAATGGCGGTGGTGGCCACCTCCCATTTATCTTCAAAAACGTGTTATTGGAGTCCATGGAAACCCATTGTCCAATATTTATATGTCAATGGGCTGGACTGAAAGCGGAGATGATGTACTTACAGAAAGAAAATGAAGGTATGTTACCTATATAAAGTTAAATGTTCTTTTTTTTAAATAATCACAAATTTAAAGAAAAACACAAAACTAACACAAATAACGTATAAATAGCTCCAACAAGCATTATAACGATTATACATACAAATGTAGCTTCTGAGAGGAGGACCAGATTAGATTCAGAAACAAACTCAGTTTTTACAAAAGTCAAATCTGAATTAGTCGCTTTGTGACTTTTTTTATTATAACAAAACAAGTTCAAAGTACCAGATTATACCACCTGGGAATGTTCCTGAGACTAAAATCAGTTAATATTTAACGACTGATAATAAAAGCTGTATTTAAGGCCTGGGTTATTACAGAAAGCACAAGTCTGACCTGCAAAAGCCGACACTGGAAACAAAGATGCCTATTCTTTTTGCACTTTTCATGTTAATCTGCTCTCTTACTGAGGCTCAGCTTCAGCAGCCTGACAATGAAACAAATTCATATTTGAAGCCAGCAGGTTCACATGTAGAAGCAGGAAATCCCTCAGAGCACCAACAAACATGTACACAGGACATCAATGCTGTGCTGAGAGAGATGAGCGCCTCGCTGGCTGGACTGAAGGTGGAGATGAAGTACTTACAGAAAGAAAATGAAGGTATGTTAACTAAGTTAAGTAAAGGTTTAGGAGACCCCGACTAAAGTGTTTTAATTGTATAATTACAGATATTCAATTTTTGTTTTGTTTCCTAAACTCTAACAGCTAAAACACGAGAACTGGAGCTGCTGAAACAACAGGACCAAGGTAATGTTAATAATATATAAAAAAAATACATGTAAGAGTAACAAATGAAAAAAAAAAAGTATTACTTTTGTTAACTTACATCATTTTAAATCGGATTGTTATTTTCTACATGTTCAGAAAAGACAAAAGAACTGGAGCTGCAAAAGAGCGTGCTGGACAATCTGAAGCAACAGGACCAAGGTGATAAGGAATGGACAAATAATTAAATAAATAAATAGTAGAAAGGGCCTCTTTTTCTTAGACAAAATCGTACGTACTGTTATTTTTTTAACTTGTTTATCATATGTTTTAATCAGTTTATATTTTTAATACTTTTTAGCCAAAACAAAAGAATTGGAGTTACAAAGGAGAGACCTGGACAAGCTGAAGCAACAGGACCAAGGTATTTACTGTTCACCATTTATTGTTAATAATATACAAAATTATATTTTGAAATAACTAAAGACCTAATTAAAACACGACACATCTGAGACACTCAGGACAACAAATATCCAGTTTTGTACAAATGCTGAAGGTTTTGTCTGAAAAAAGTTGGACAGAATGATCATTTATTCAGTCTGTGTGCAAGTTTTCATTCTTTTAAACCAAAACAATAAAACTAGTCATTTTAAAGTCATTTTTTTTGCCTCCTTGTTTTGTTTATATGTGTAATTTTAGCTCATTAAAGAGAACTGATCACCATGCAAACATTTTAGAAAAAATTAATAACACAGTTTCTGTCTCTCAGTGAAACAAGTGGCTTTCTCAGCATCTCTGGTGGAATCAGGCTCAGTTAAGTTTGGACCTTTTAATGCACCAACACCTCTGGTCTTCAGACATGTTGTTACTAATATTGGAAATGCCTACAATCCAAATACAGGTAATCAATTTCACTAAATTCTATTAGTAATACATTTATTCATCTTCTGTAAATGCATTTTTGAGTTAGAATAAACAAGAGAATGTTTTCAATAAAAAAAATCTACAGGTTTCTTCATCACACCTGTGAGAGGAGTCTATCACTTTGAGTTCCACATTCAAGGACCGGGACATGCTTCACATGGTTCAGGAGCTGTGCTGTTTAAGAATGGAGAACATATCTTTATTGCATACGGGCATCAATCTTCTCACCATGTTAATGCTGCCAATGGTGTCACACTGCTGCTGGAGGTTGGAGATGTTGTGTTTCTGCGTCAGAGCGCAGACACAATCATTCATGACAGTTATAATCATCACAACACCTTCAGTGGTCACCTGATTTTCACCGTGTGAGCAACAGCTTTTTAGAACAAAGATTCATAGATCATTTCAGACAATCAGTCAATTTCTACATATTCATCATTTACTCCCCTTACCACAGAAGTTGACAGCCACATTTCTGATGAACTAGTTTATTTAATCCAAAACAGACAAATTAGCAGTAAATCAAATTAGCTGAACTTGCCATATCTTTTTATTTTTTACCTTGTAAAGTTTAAAAAAAAATTATTGACACTGATCTTCTGCAGCTCAATTTGCAGAACCTACTGTATGTGCTTGTTTTAAAGGGATGTTATCCAGTTGGGCTTGCTTTTAGCACCCCTAGTGTCTGTTTGTAGAAGCAAAACCAAAACCTATCTCCTCTCTGTGCGTTTGTCTTTTTAACACCTTGGTCTAACAGCTGAAACATCTCCCAGCGTTCCTAACTGCCTAGTCTCACAGGAAGAAGATAGGAATCACAAAATATAAAAGAAAAAATATATATATAAAAACACCAAAGCTAAACTAAACTGGACAGAAGGTCAGACTACTGTATAAGTGCTGTGTTTAGTCTGCATTTAAGTGTATTTTAAATATTTTTTTTCACACTTTTACATGACCGAGTTGTCTTCTAACGCATTTCCTATTCCTTTTGGGCGCAGCAATCTTTATTGTACACCTACAGTACAGGCCAAAGGTTTGGACACACTTTCTCATTCTATATGCTTTCTTTATTTTCATGACCATGACCATTTACAAAGGGGCCAACAAGTGCTTAACACCTTTGGGAACTTCTTCAAGACTTTTGGAAAACCATTTCAAGTGACTACCTCTTGAAGCTCATCAAGAGAATGCCAAGAGTGTGCAAAAAACTAATTAGAGCAAAGGGTGGCTATTTTGAAGAAAATAGAACAAAAAAACATGTTTTCAGGTATCTCACCTTTTTTGGTACATAACTCCACACATGTTCATTCATAGTTTTGATGCCTTCAGTGAGAATCTACCAATGTAAATGGTCATGAAAATAATCAAATCAGAAATGCAAGTCAACTAATTGTAGCTATCGGGCTGATATCTAAAAGGAATTTCTTTTCTTAACGTCCAAAGCAGTTCCGCCTATGGACGGGGACTACTAAGTTACAAGCAAAGCCAGGTCGCTACGACCGGGAGCCTTGGCCTTCCAGATCAGCCCATCTTGTTGCATCATTATTAAAACGCCTCTAATTATTATTAAGATGACATTTTCTTTATAAAACTCCCCAAAACAGCTTTCTGTTGGGGGTGATGGCAGAAGAACAGTCTGCACTTAGCATAAGAAAACGTGTTGCTGTTAAATGAAACAGCCAATCATAATAGAGCCCTTTTGGTCAGTTATAGGCGAGAAAGACAAAGATCTTCCTTGGACATACTATGATTTAAAATGAAGCTTCCATGTCACAGCGGTCTGGCTCAACACGTAACATTTCAACCAATTTCAACCCTGGACATGCGTTGGCTGCCACCGGAAAATGGGAACAGCCAGCTGCCTGCTCTAGCATCTGTTCTTGGGCAGGAGACAGAAGACGGGTATCTGCTCAAGTTTCTTATCCAGCCAGCAGCCCCACTAACATGTGTGACCAAGCATTTAAATGACACAGCATTTCCCCCATTCAACCAGCAAAATAAAATAAAGAAATATAAATTTGCTTACTGATAAAAAAGAAGCAGAAACTGTTTGGATGATTTGTTAGTGCAGTCAATAACCACAGCTTGCCCTCTGTGTCCAAATAACTCCCTGATCAACATCCAAACACACGGAGGACACAACTAAAGTTCAGAAAGTCAAAATGGCCAAACATTTCTAAACGTGAGGCTGATGCCTTTCCCTGGAGCTAGCTCTGAATTCAGGTGGCTCTGGTGCTCATTAATTATTCAGAACTATAAGCATGAAATTCCACTTAAACAGAAGAATTACAGAACACGTCACCCCCCTCAGAGTTGTCACACATGTAAACTAGATCTATTAAACCTAAAATGTTCTTTTGAACCAGGCTATAAACCTGTTTATTTCTGCTGTAAAATTGGCATTTTTAACATAATGAGGATTTGCTCACTTCTGCTGCCAGCCCCCAGTGGATGAGGATGGAACTACAATTTTAGCCACTCCTTCTTGGCCTCAAAAAATGCTGACCATAATGGCCCAATAAATACACAATTGAAAAAGTAAAAGGCTCGTTATATATTTGTATTGAAACTTATACGTATAAAACATAATGTTACCTCCCGTGCCATGTGACTTTACGCGACCGCGGCTTGCAGGTCTGTTCTATTTAACCGTTTTCTTTGACCAAGGAAGGACAAGTGCGATATTCTTGCCACGGGGGAATTCGAGGCTGGGTGGCCTTTCATTAATCCTAAAAAGGGTTATTTTAGCACATACTGGCTCAAGAAAAGGATTAAAAAAATATGTAAAAGTTGCAAAGTATCCATGTAAAGTGTAAACTGCACATTCATAATACAATAGAATCTGTAAACCCTTTATGTTTAATTAGAATGGAAGTTTTTGTTTAGAATGATTTTTTTTATTCCAGTCTCATTCTCTGTTTCATCACTGTTGTATGTTCTTGTTCATGTTCATGAGATGTACTGTAATAATTTTTCAGTTTGGAATTAATAGGATGTGTGAATGCACTCAAAATTATGTTTATGTTCGATTTTTTAATTGTTCATATAATAATGTCTTTTTGTTTAAATTGAGTTTAAACGATCAACATTGTAGTTTTTAATCTTATTTTATTTTTTTTACAAAAGGACATAAAGTCTGTTGTAAACACCAAAGAACTAACAGAACCACACTTTTGGTGGATTGGGGGGGGGGGGGGGGGGGGCTTTGTTCTCCGAGTGGTGGGAACAGTGTTGTGGGGGTTATTTTGTGGCCATCACCATTGCAAAATGACTATCACTGGTCCCATTTAGATTTCCAACATAGGCCTAGTCCACACGTAGCCGGGTTTTTTTAAAAACGAATATCCGCCCCTCCATAAACTTGCATCCGGACACACTCATTTTTAAAAAAAAACTCTGTCCACACGTACCTGGATAAATACGTTGTTAAGGACATGCCAGACCTGTAGGCGGCAGTACTTCCCTCGTTCTTAACCTCGTCCTTCGTCTGTGGTCTTCCGCAAGGAGCAGTAATTCCGCTTGCAAAAACAAACAAGCAAAAAGCGCTTGGACAATTGATAAAGCGAGCGCAGCTCTGAGGGCATCCATGCTGTCGGCTAGTGTAAACACAGGTCGCACACATGATGTCAGCATTTTTTTGTCGCGGAAAGTGATGTTGCGGACCTTAAAACTCCGGTTTTGCCTGTCCACACGCAGACACCCAAAACGGAGAAGACGCAGATCTTCACTTTGGCCGGAGTTTTTAAAAAGATCCGTTTTCGTGTGGATGACAGGCCAAAACGTAGAAAAATATCTACGTTTTGGCAGATCCCCGGCTACGTGTGGACAGGGCCTTAGTAGGCACACAATTAATGAACAGCAATGGAAGAAACCTTTTGCAGATGCACACATCTTCATTTTATGGGTACAAAGTCATCAATGATGACATATTGTAGTACAACTGAGTTGAGCTGAGTTTATGAAAGCCAGGCCACTCAACCTTGTGTCACTGATGAGCTTTAGTTTTGAGAAGCTTGATTCAGCAGAAGCAGCTGCAATAGGGAGAGCTGGAGTTCACTTTTAACTTCAGCACAGACCCTGTTATGATTAGGAATCCATCATACTGGCAGAGTAAGCTTTGTTTCGGTCATTACTCAGTGGAATAATGTAAACTGTTCTATGACTAATGATAGGATTATAATACATTATGATTTATAGAAAAACCTCTTTCCCTATAGACAGACAGATAGACTTAAGCCAATATGTAAGGGTGCTGGGATGGTTTTGCTCACGATCTATGTTTCCGTATGAAGGCCACATATCCATCTACATGGATGCAACTGCCTTTCAATACCTTTAATGGCTGGTTGGTCAGATGCTTCTGCAGTCAATCATTGTGTGCACATTTTTGAATAACTTTTTTTCTCTTTTTCTGGCTGGGCTGACAGAGCCATGACATAATAATAATAATAGCGGAATAATCCTGGAATGACCAGAGAACATGAAGTGACAACTTTTTTTTTTTACTGTGGTGGTGATGGTCTGTCATAAAGGGATCTCCGACCGGTGATCAAAATGTAAAGAAAATCGGTGTCTATGTTTGACATTTATGACCACATTCTACATACATATTTAAGTTTGTAGAACAAGCGTGTGATAAATGACTTACTGCTGGAAACCGCTGGCTTTTTGATTCCCACCTCCTGTGAGCCTCCGGGCTGCTGTGAAGCTGTGACCGGGGCAGAGCCGGCAGCCCCGCCCGTTGCCCCAGCCCCGTGTGTGGACCGACTGTACCAACTTGAGGAATTGGGAGGGGGGGGGGGGGGGTGGACTATAATTTCTCAGCAATTAAAAACACATTGTTTTGTATTTGCAGGCTAATTTTTACGTTGTGGTATTAGAAGACAATACAGGTTTACTGATAGCATCTATGTGTTTACAATAACTTTTGTGTGTGTGTGGGGGGGGCTTTGTGTGAGGGGGGGACACGTCCCCAACCCCCCCCCCCCCCCCCCCCCCCCCCGGGATCTCCGCCTATGGACCAAGGTGATAATGAATGGATGAATAAGTAATAGAGAGGGCTTCTTTTTCTTAGACAAGGTCATATATACGTTTTTTTTTTTTTTAATTTGTCTATCATATTTTTAATCAGTTTATAATTTTTTTACACCTTTTAGCCAAAACAAAATAACTGGAGTTACAAAAGAGTGAGCTGGACAAGCTGAAGCAAAAGGACCAAGGTATTTACTGTTCATCATTTATTGTCAATTATATCTAAAATGATGTTTTGAAATAACTAAAGGCCTAATTTAAACATTACACATCTGAGATACTCAGGACACAAAAATCCAGTTTTGTACAAACGCTGAGGATTCAACAAAACCAGTATTTTAAAAATCTCTTAGACAAAATGTAACAGAATTCAGTAATTTTTTTCATTTTTTGCCACCTCGTTTTGTTTATATGTGTAATTGTAGCTCAGGAAACAGAACTGATCACTGTTGTGATTATTAGTCAAAAAATAATTTGTAAGCTTTACTTACTTTTTGGATTCATCAATAAATTCGTAAATATGGAAATATTTACCGATTTATTACGTAATTAGGAAATCCTTGGATGTCCTCAAGACACCACCCCTTTTTAACAGGGGAAAAATGAATCCACACCTCTATCAATCCATCTATCCTTTCCGTGAAATCCTTAACGAGCTGCAGTTGTATTTTATATCAACACAAACAAATTCACTTGAGACAAAACTTAATTGGCAATCATTTATTAACTAATTTGATCACTTTGGCTCCTCCCAAAGCATTAGCTAATTAATATCCACCAACTGATTTTATCAAACAAATAACAAGTAATTAAACAATGGAATGATAACGTGAAATAATAATCTGATAGGTGGGGTAACAAAATGGAGGTAGTTGAAAACCCAAAATGGCTGATTCCTTTGTCTGAGGGAGCAAGGACCCTAAATGTTTAAGGGATGTGTGTGTCCTCCCAAACACTGAAAACCAGAATGTGTGTGTTAGGGTTGTCACGGTAACCGGTATAGCGGTAAACCCCAGTAAAAAAGTTGACAATAAAAATAACCGTCCAGTTTTTAAAAAACTAAATTATCTCGGTGGGTTTACCGTGGCCGCGGTTTAGGCGCGGTGACCCTTACCAGCCACCGTCGCTTCTGCTGAAGTTCCCGCGCACACTCACTTTTTAGTTTGCAACCAAAACTTTGAAGCTGAAATAATGGCCGAAGGTGGAGACGGCAGCGCCCAGGACATCCATCAGCCCTCAAAGAAGACTAAATCGGAAGTATGGGCATATTTTGGATTTCTGAAAAATGCTGAGGGACAGTTAATAGAAGACGGCTATCCCGTTTGCAGAACGTGCAGGAAACAAGTGTCTGCAGAAGGCAGCAACACTTCGAATCTAATGGCACATCTGCGTGACCATCACCCGCGTCTCTACAGCCAGTGCAAGGTAAGTTAACATTAGCATTTTAGCTTAAATGCATGACGTGAGGACTTTTGGTTGAGGGAGAATGCAACGAGTCACTACATACTGCAGCCGCAGCGCCCTCTGCCAGCATTTAAACCGTGTTATGGACACCCTGTTGCTGGATGAAGCATCTTATTTTTTGATGATGAAGAGAAACATACAATTAGTTCCGTGTCATTGATTTGTTTACTTATTCAATGCCATTTATACTTGAACATTTGGATTTGATTACATAGTGTAGTTATTTTAGTAATTTGTTTAAAGTGGCTATTTATTTTAAATACATTTTTTAAGCTTGACTTGTACAGTGCTCAAGTCAAGTGTGGACTGGAGTTTAAGATTTTCATTTTGATAATGCAGAAAACAAGTATATGAGAAAACAAGTGGTGTTTCTTTGATTTGTTTACATATTGTTTATGTTTTGTATGTTTGGATTTGTATAATTTAAACCTGCACTGACTACTGTAACATGTTCCAGAAAAAGAAGCTATTTGTTACTTTACTTGTGAAAAGTTGCACTTTTGCCAAGGCTTTGTGTTATTTTAGGTTTAATAAACACTGTTAAACCTTTTCAAAACTATTTCAGTTTGTGTAGAACAGGACTATCAATGCTTTCTGAACATATGCAACACCGTTTAAAAAATACCGCGATAATACCGAAAACCGTGATAATTTTGGTCACAATAACCGTGAGGTTAAATTTTCATACCGTGACAACCCTAGTGTGTGTGTGTGCGTGTGTGTGTGTGTACGTGAGCAACTTTCACTTTAACTTCCAAAGCACGTTCAATCACAGTAAAACTTAACCAAACACTTCAAACCCGCTTCACAAAGATCAATAAACAAAACAAAAGATCAATCATAAATGAAATATCTAATAGTTTGTCAGCCTGGCCACAGCATAAAACTTAAGATATTAAACAATGACAAAAACAAAACGTCTTACTCTTAAGATGATCCGATGGCGTGTTTTGGTATGGAAGAGAAAGAGCCGTCTGTTAATTTGAAGCAATCGCACGGTTTGATCGCTTGTTCGGACAATTAAGAGTAACGGGAGAAAAAGGAGACAGAGGAGAAAAAAATACTCTTCTCTGAGCGAATTCAAGGCGTCCCTTGTCGTTCGCGCTGAGCAGATTTGATGGTTTTCCGCTGCTTTTCAGCCATCAGGCCTCGTGCCCACACATCGGTAGAACAAAGGCAGCTCCTCTCCAAACCAGAAGAACTCCTGGACAAAAGAGAATTAACTTTCGTTCTACGCTGGGCTTCATAGCTTTCCAGTGGGCGGACCGAGGGTCCGGGGTTCGACGTCGCTTTGGTGACGTCATCACGTTGCTTCCGGGCAGAGAATCATGGGAAATGGAGTCTGCTGGCGCTGGAATTTATTATCTGCTTTTTCAGAGCGCAGATGACAGTTTTTGGAGAAAATGCTGCGTAGCAATTTTCTCCTGAGGGCAGACGCTCCAAGGCATTTTTGGCACAGTCTTTTGGAGAAATTACTGCATAGTAATTTCCTCATGATGGCAGACCCTCAACATCACCATGCAAACAGTTTTGAGAAATAAATGCTGACATCTTTGTTTCTTAGTGAAACAAGTGGCTTTCTCAGCCTCTCAGATCTACACATGGCTCAGGACATGTTGGAACTTTTGATGTACAAACACCTCTGGTCTTCAAACGTGTT